CAACGGACTCCTTCAGTCTGTCACCCTTCCCTCTTGTTCCAAGATACGCCACGCCGCTCTCCTCTTCCTTCTATCGTCTACAGTGCTATTTCTAGTTCTGGTACATTGTTATTCGTGCGTTCTAATAAATTACTGTTTATCGTCGCGTCCTCCGAAACATTGAGAGAAACTAGGGAGATACCTCAGGAAATGAAGAAGCAACTGAGCAGCAGAAAGCTAGTCTATGAAAACGCAAAGGCGGCAGCGCTTTTCATTTTACAGCCCCCGTTACGTCATCGCTGCGACACAACTCGGTACGCTGCGCGTACACACCAGCGGTGAGTTTCTTCGCAGTGATGACAGCGGTGGTCATTGTGCGGCCCACACCGCGTCCCTGCGACGCCGCTATACACGCGCCGCATGCGCGCCGCCAGTGAAACTTCTCCCTCTCATCCTATCCAGCTAAGATTGTGACGCTTTGGTGGACTGCCCGCGACCAAATAGTGATCGAGCGACCTAACCCACAACGTCAATTTTTTATAGTTAGAGCGTAGTGATGGCAACGCTAGTACGGCCTCGCCGCATTATCGCTGCGACACCGCGCGGCACGCGCCGGGTGCACACCGCCTTACGCACGCCATCGGAGATGACGTCATTGTGTCCATCCCACCCGTTGCTTGAAGTTAAAGCGAATATTCAGAAAGGGAAGATTAAGCAACTAAATTTTCCGAAAAGGATTACCTCCATATTCGCAGACTTTTCCTGGAAATCGCATCATGTTCCCGATACCGACAATGAATCCCAAACATGATAAGGACATGTCGGTCTAAATTTAGCATCAGAAAATCAATATTGAAAAGTATCCTTATGCTTTCAGAAAATCAATATTGAAATATATTCTTATGCTTTTTCTGTGTTTCTTATATTCCTGCCAAAGTGTGTGCTACTACATCTTTCTAGGGACTCTGTGGCAATAATAAGTTTGACAGTCGAACCACAGCATATGCGAGTTAGAGCGCGTTCAGACTTCGCGATCGCGCGATCCGGATCGCGCGATCGCGAAGTCGAACCGCCTTAAAGGCAGTTGGCACGATGGTTTCCCACTCGGCCTAAAATGCTAGTAGGGCGCTATGTAGTGGGGAAATGGCGAAAGAACGGAGTGAAACGGTCAAAATCCTGCGAAGAAAGAGCCTCCGTTCTCAATGTGTTAGAAATCAATTTTGGACGAGTTTCCCTGTAGGCATCTTGCCAATCACCGCTACCGAAGATACGGCTGCATATGTGTACCCATGTATGCATGCAGCATCACGGCCGCTTCATACCAATCCTTCGCTTCATAATTTGCTCAGCAAATGAATGAATACGAGCGTCAGAAACGGTCGTCCGTTTGTGGCGGCGGGAAAGGAAGGACGTTGGGACGGAGAAGTGTTGCTCGATTAGGGCGTTAAGCAGGGTACCCTCTGGAAAGGCGCCACGGGAGCGCCTGTCCGAGTCACGGAATTTTGTTAAGCCAGTCGTATAAATCCTACATCTGTACAGCGATTTATCGTGCCAACTGCCTTAAGCGCACGGTTGCGTAGCGGCTGGAAGCGTCGCACTAGCCCGCTTCACACCCGCTTGCCACATCCGCGCTTTGATTCTGTCGCAGCAATATTGTATACATTATAAATATAGAGTAATTCAGTGATACCTGGCTTTTCCAAAGGTGCCGAACTTCAGAACTCGCGCTGAGGTGGTCGTCGCTTTTTCGTAGACTCGAAAATTGTTCCCACCATCGCGGTTCATTAGGATTGACTATGGAACGAGTAGGAAGAATCGTTTCCATTAGGCCTGACTATAAAGATTTGATTGTCTACAGATTAGTAAAGAATGTTTGGGGATTAGAGGGAGGGGGAGAGCGTGAGGTTGATTGCCCATGCTAATACACAGACATCCTAAAAACTGATTTCCTGAAGTTTCCTAGGAACGCATGCCACGCACTGGGGGTTGTGTGAAAAATTTGAGGCACGTTCTTTCCTCAGTTTCTTCGAAATAGTTCTGTGTGGGGTAGCCTCAATTTTTTCGATACTAAACGTTGGGGGGCTGCTGCAGGTTGAGCGTCGCTTGCGCAACGCGGTCATCCGCCGAGTCGTCGCTCTGCAGAGCTGGGACCAGAGCACGTCCTGTCACTGGGGAAAGTTTATGGGAAACGAGCCGCCCCCCCATCCCAACTCATCCCTGCTCTGACCCCCTACCCTTCTCATCCTCCGGCATTCCTTCCACGTTTCCTAACCCTTCTGCCATACTTCCGGAAACTTCGCTTGGTTTTCAATTCAGTTTTTTCTTCGAAAATCCTGCTCGTTAGCCACTGAGGGAGGGTAAGGGGGGATGAGCACTACGTGAACGGGGAAAACCGCTGGAAGTCAACAACCATAATAAGTTTTTCCGCAACGCGGTAAAACTACGCTAATTTCTCTCTAAGGCGGGTACACCCTCTTTAGATTTCTAACAGCGATAACGCCTGTCGAACAGGCCCCCGTATCAAAAGGAATCCCTGAGAATAAGTACGACCCCCCAGTCCAGCGACCAGATATGACCCGGGGGTGGCAGGCACCGCTGAGGATTACCCAACATAGGATAATGCCCTTGTGAACGCTTCCGAGGCTAACATTTGCCGCGGTGCCAAGCACTTTCCGCCCATTTGCTTAATCGCTTAGCCTGCCATCGGCAGATTAAGTTGAGAAGCGGGGCTGGCTGCCGCGCAAAACCCGGCCTCCGGCCCCTCGGTCGGCTGAAACGCCCAGCGTTAGCGAAAACGAGTGTTAGTATCTGGTTGGTCTCAATGAAGTACTCGTGGCAGGGAATGGTCATTCCAAAAGTTCTTGCCTCTCTCATTTCTGCTATCTCCTCTGGACGTTTATTACTCAAGAACTGATAGAACCTAAATATACTCTAACTCGCTGCGGACGGTTGGGCGTGTCAGGCAGTATGAGTGTGTCACCCGTCAAAGCCGTTCTCTGCCTTCTTGTTGAAGCGCATGCGACAAAAAGTGGTAGAAAACGAGTAATACGAACGATATGATACAGTCATATCATTTGCTCGCTTTAACAACTGGTGGAGAACGGGTTTGGCACCGCTCCAAACTCATCCCGCCTGACACGCCCAACCATCCGCAGCGAACTAAACTATAATAGTCCTGGAATCCGGCTAGGAATCACGCAAAGGCCCCCCCCTCATCGAATTTTTCACACACAACACAAAACACTTACTGTGCTTGGCACTGATGCTACGGTAGGAAGGCTATGCGAAGATAAGGTATCACGAATCGCCTTTTGTTTCTTCCGTTTCTTGTCCCGTGATGAGGTCCTGAAGATAAGCGCTAAAGGTTACTTTAGGAGAATAATGGCAGGTCAAAACCTTTCTGACAGTTTTGCGGTGGTAAGTGAGAGAATAGATTTTTTTTCTTGCAAAGGTTCTATACGGATTGTTTTGCGAACTACTACCGAAGGACCCTGACGTATAACCATTCACATTAGAATCATTTCCATCAGGCTTAAAGTTTTCTAGTTGAAATGAATCGGTGGATGACCTCACCGACCTGTTTAGTATTCGCTCTGTCTCATCGGCATGACACACGCATTCCAAGTAGAACTGAGCTGCATAGTTGGCATCTGATGAGACGAGTTCTCGTAATTTGACGATCCTAATGTCCATTTCCTAAAAAGTTCCAAAATTCTTTAGTACTGAAAAAGGGTGCAATTTCGAGTTCCAGTCGAATGCGTGGCGTAAACAGAGGCTCAGAATTGATACGGTATTTTTTTCTCGACCTTACCTGTCCAGATGTGTTGAAACTACTCATAAGCAATTGGGGGTTGGGTGTTTGTGCTTATGGAAGCTCCGCCCCCTCCATGGGGGCCCCGCCCCTTTCATTGACTGAGATTAGGGGAATGACTTGTAACACGTAAGAGGTACAAATATGCATCAAAATGTACTTATGGAGAATTCTGCTCTTTTTCATAGTCACATGGAAAGATCTCCAACTATGCTGAGCTTGTGATCAGCAGCGGTTCATGGCCAAGGGAAAGGAAACCCGTTCATATGGGGTTCTACGTATGCCCACAGCCTTTGCTCAACCCTGCTTGACAGACTCAAAAGTCCTTGGGTTGTATGATTGTACAGCCGCTCCTCGAAGTCATGTTCCGCAACAATCGGATCAAGAGCGAAAATGGGCGGAGACCCAATGACTATTGTGCGGGCCTTGGCTTGGTGCACCCTTCCACCGAATACGGTAGAAAGGGAGTGCTCCAGTGAGGAAGGCCCAGCGCTCGTCCGATAATCTCGAAATGTGCCCTCGAGACCCGGAA